TTTCTGATCTCTTCCTGCTATAACCCAGCCTTCGTAGGGAGGTGGAGTGATTTTTTTTTTTTTTTTTAAGATTTTATTTACTTATTTGACAGAGAGAGTGGGAGAGCACAAGCAGGGGGAGCAGCAGAGGGAGAGGGAGAAGCAGGCTCCCTGCCGAGCAGGGAGCCCGATGTGGGGCTCGATCCCAGGACTCCAGGATCACGACCTGAGCCGAAGGCAGAAGCTTAACCATCTGAGCCACCCAGGTGCCCCAGGAAGGTGGAGTGATCTTTTTTTTTTTTTAATTTTTTTATTGTTATGTTAATCACCATACATTACATCATTAGTTTTTGATGTAGTGTTCCATGATTCATTGTTTGTGCATAACACCCAGTGCTCCATGCAGAACGTGCCCTCTTTAATACCCATCACCAGGCTAACCCATCCTCCCACCCCCTCCCCTCTAGAACCCTCAAGGTGGAGTGATCTTAACAGATAAGTTGAATATTGTCTGACCCCTGCATAACTCCTCTATGTCTTTCTACTGCACAGGATTGGGAGTTACAGGAGACCCAGGAACTAAAGGGGGTGACCTCAAATGGGTCCCCTTGCTTTGGATGGGGTTAGGGTGGTCAGAGAGCTGTTTTTCTGAATTCAAAAAGATCTCTACGCACTGTAGGGCATCTCTTAGAAAATATAGTTGTCATGGCTGCCCCGGAAGGAAAGGAAACCATTTCATGATGGTAAATAATTGTTTATGTTCAGTCTCCTACACTCACTATAAGCTTTCCTGGGCTCCAGATTCTTTCTGTAAGTCTCTGATCATGCTTTATCTGGTCTATGCCTACTCAGAATTCAGGTTTCTACTTAGGCACCCCCTTGCTGACTCCACATCCAGGCTGGGTTAGGTACCCTCTCTGGGCTCCTCTAGTCTCCTGGACTTCCCCAAGGATTTACTTATTTAGCATGTTTAGTGCTTATTTTCTGCCTATCCCTCTAGAATGGAAGCTCCATGAGAGCAAGGAGTTTTCTAATCCATGAACATGGTATATATTTCCACTTATTTAGATCTTCTTTAATGTGGCTCAACAGTATTTTGTAGTTTTCAGTGTAGAAATCTTGCATATCTTTTGTTAAAATATTTCCTAAGGATTTTTGGGTTTGATACTATTTTTTTTGGGGGGGGTTGATACTATTGTAAAAGAACTTATTTTCAATCTCATTTTGCAACTGTTTCTACCTAGTGTGTAAACATAAAATTGATTTTTTTTTTTTTTTAAGTAGGCTCCCTGCCCAGTGTGGAGTCCAACACAGGGCTTGAACCCACCACCCTGAGATCAAGACCATGAGCCACCCAGGCACCCCTATTTTGAAGATTTAATGAGAATATCCACGTAAAGTGAGAGCACAGCATCTGATACATGGTTAGTGCCCAATAAACATCAATTTGTATTACCTCACTTCTCCCTCCCTATAAAAGAGGGAGCATTCTAGTTCATAACTCCTAAGGTTACAATGAGAATGAAATGACATCATGCACAGACTGTGCATAGCACAATTCTTGGCACAGGGAAAGCCACTGGTAAATGTTTGCTATTATTATTTACCAAGTCCCTGCTTATATTGGGTTGGGGGACATGGAGATGTGTCAATCAAGGACCCAGTCCACTGAAAGCTCACAGCCTATTGGCAGAGACAAAGTATAGAGATAGTTACCACACAGTGTAGTAAGGGGATATAAACGGAAATTTGCCAGTTTAAACCTAAAAGGAAACAGCAATAGTTTATAGTAGGGAAAATAGGAAACAACTTAGGGACGGGGATCCCCTGTGGTACCTACGTGTAATGCATACCATTAAACTTAATGCTGTGGAACGGAGGATGGGGATGGTTGGCTGGCGCACGGGGTGAAAATTACTTTTCATTAGACCCTTTTGTATCTTTTGCATCTTGGATTGTGTTCAAAATCAGCAGTATTTTTTAAAATAAGAAATTATGCTGTGAAAAGTATTCAATGCCACCAGTCAATGTTCACGACTTACCGTTATGTGAAAAAAAGTTAATTTGTCAAACGGCCTCTCGTTTTACACTTACCTAGAAAAAAGAGGGAGCAGGAGTACAACAAAGTATTAGCAGTAACTTCATCAGTGGGATTAATGTTGAGTTTTGCTTTCTCCTCTCGGCTTTTCGAGATTTTGCTAAGGTTCTACATTAAGCAGAATTTTGTTTTGTTTTGTTTTTGTTTATTGGCCGTGAGAATTAAAGTTATTAACAAAACTACAACTCCCATCAGGCATCATGCCCCCGGCTTCTGAAGACAGGCCTTCTATGGGCGCAACGTTCTCTGGGATTCGTAGTCCAGTAGCAGAAGTAAGGTGGGACGCACAGTACCGGCACAGATGACAGAGGAGGAATCACCGGCAGTGTCGACCAATGGGCAGTGGGGGCCAGCCCTGAGTGGCGCTCGCAAAACCAATGGGTGAGCCGACGTCCCTGAGTGACGTGTTCTTCAGCCTACGGGCGGCCCATGGGGGCGGGTCGGTGAGCGGCGGCCGTAGTGCGAACCATGGGAGGCGGCTGGTGGTGGGCTCGGGCCGCCCGACTGGCCCGGCTCTGCTTCCGGGGGGCGCTGCTGCCGCCTCCGCGGCCCCGGAGCGGGGGCGCCCGGGGGTCTTTCGCCCCCGGCCACGGCCCCCGCGCCGGGACTTCGCCACCCCCCGTGTCCGAGCTGGATCGTGCGGACGCCTGGCTCCTTCGGAAGGCGCACGAGACAGGTCTGAGGCTGGGGTCGGCCCGGACAGGAGAGGGGGTTCCGGATAGCCGAGCTGTCGGCGCGCCTGAGGTGGGGGGTGGGGACGGGGCTCCTGCTGGAAACAGGGCCGGGGCTCCGGAGCGAGCAGGGCTTCCGTATAAGCGCAGGGAAGTGCTCGCTGCAAGAGCGCAGCCTGTCCGCAAAGAAGGGCTTGCAGATGGGACGGTGTCCGGTTAGCGGGGTGCAGTAGGGATTGGAGAGGTTAGTCGGGCTAGGACTGGCAGCCTTATAAAATTGCACTGCCTGGGTGAGAGAGAGGCGTCCAGAGAGAGTTAAGGGCGGGGAGTTGCCTACTAGAGGGGTCCGCGTTCAAGGAGCCAGTTCAGCTTGAAGAGGCGACCACTCTGCATTAGGCGGGAGTGTGGATCCCCACCAAAGAGGGGGCGAGTTCCGGATTGGAGGGAGGAACAACCAATAATAGAAAAGCTCTGGGCTGATTGGAGGGCCAGGTGATCCAGGCTGCAGGGGGAGGGGCCTCACGTGGAGAGGGTAGATAGAGGCTGGGGTAAGGGTGTGGGGTTTGTAACCCGTTAGCGCCCCACCAGGGGACTTGAATGGATGTAAATAACAGCAAGGAAGGACGTGCGCAGATAGTTGATAGTTGGCATTAGGGGGAGGCTGGAGAGAGACGTGAAGTGAGGGAACAGCTTGTCCCCGGGGGGGAGGGGAGGGCGTGGATACACATGTATGGGGGTGGGACGTTGACCGGGATGACCTCTTGGGATCTGTCTGTCCTCAGATTTAGGTCCTGCAGTTTGGGTTCCTAGATGCTCCTCCACATTCTGCAGACTGTCTTGAATCTTTGGTGCTGCAGAGTTTGGGGGAGAGGGCTCAGAGATGGATGGAAGCCAGAGTTTGGGCGCGGGGATAAGGTTAGGTGGAGGGCTGCCAGGACTAGGCGGGGATTTGGGGTGGGATAACACCGTCCCGGCAGATGGGGTTGGGGGCAGGGTTTGGGCTGATGCTGATTTCTTCCCCCCCCCCGCCCCCTTCCTGTAGCATTCCTCTCCTGGTTCCGCAATGGTCTCCTGGCATCAGGCATCGGGGTCATCTCCTTCATGCAGAGTGACATGGGTCGGGAAGCTGCCTATGGTGAGTGCAGACCCCCCCCACTCTCGCCCCCACCAGGAAGTGTGGGCACTTGCCCCCCCCCCCCACTGAGGAGGTAGAGCCCCCATCCTCCCTGGTGGCTGTAGATTCTTCCCTGCCCCGTCCCAACCTCCCCAGTTAAGTGTGGATCCCCTCACTCTTTCCCCCCACCAGAAGCCACCTCACCCTCCCTCGCACCCACCCCGACTTCCTGGGCACTGGGGAGGGCGGTGGGTCCTTGCCCCCTCCTATCCGACTTCTCGACAAAGATGAGGGTCCTGGCTGAGCCCCTCATGCTGGCTCAGCCCCAGACTGGCCCCGCTGCCGCCCCTCCAGCCCTGTTTTTGCTCTCAGACCAGCTCCCCACCCCTCCTCTGGTCCTGAACCCCACCTCCACATCCTAGACACCCCCCTCTGACACCTTCTCGAGTCCCTGAGCTTGGGTCTCTACTGACCCCTACCCTGACCTTGAGTTTGCCCCATTCTCTAACTCCACCTCAGTTTCCTGAGCCACCTCGGTCCCCGGGTCATCGGGCTCCCAGACCCGGGCCTCCAGCCACCCCACTGCAGGCCGGCAGCCCCCTGGCCTGGGAGCTCGGGCCCGCCCTCCCGCTGACTGCAGCCTTCTCCCCCCGCACAGGCTTCTTCCTGCTGGGCGGCCTGTGCGTAGTGTGGGGTGGCTCCTCCTACGTGGTGGGCCTGGCGGCACTGCGGGGACCCATGCAGCTGTCGCTGGGGGGCGCGGCGGCGAGTGTGGGGGCCGTGCTGGCCGTAGGCCTGCTCTGGGCTTGTGCCGTCGGCCTCTACATGGGTCAGCTGGAGCTGGATGTGGAGCTGGTGCCCGAGGACGACGGGACAGCGGCTGCTGAAGGCCCCGATGAAGCAGGCCGGCCACCACCAGAGTGAGTGGCTGGGCCATGGGGAATGGCTGGGCGCTGGACGGCCGGGGGCCCAAGGACCGGGACATTAAAACCTGACCCTTCGCCTGCTCCATGTTCCGAGTAGTGGTTCCTGCAATGGGGAGGGTGGGGCGGGTGTGGGAGCCAGGCGAGGCAGGTGGAGGTAACCAAGGAGGAGAAAGAAAAGGAGAGAGGAGCCCCGAGGCCCCCGGAGACCGAGCCACAGAGGAGAAGGTGTTTAATTTTCCGGGTGGGCCGACAGGGCTGAGCTCAGCCCTAGGGCAGTGCCCTCGGGGCCCCACCCGTCCCTCAGGGTCCGGCTCTGTAGGCAGCTCTCCAGTCCTCAGTCCCCCTTCCGCTGCATCCTGGTGCCCGTGGGCCCCGGGTACGACAGGCCCAGGGTGGGGTAGAAGGCCTCGGGGAGGGTGGGGCCCGGGCCCAGCCTCTGCAGGTGCGGGTACATGAGGCCCAGCTCCGCGGGGCCATAGCGGATGGTGCTGGGTGTGCACAGGCCCCGCACTACGGGGGGCAGGAAGCCCGCATGGAGGAGGGAAGGTGGGGGGTCCCCAGGAGGCCCCAGGCCCCAGGGCCGCACCAGGTCCTGCTTCAGGGCCCCTGCCCGGATGACAGAAGTAAACTCAGGCCGAGGCAGGGCCGGGTGGCCAGACGGCTCCTCGTCCCCACTGTCCTCTGGGTCTTTAGCCTCCCCTGGGCGAGGCTCCACTTTGATGCGTTTGCCCCGGTTCCGGGGGGCCTCGTCCTTGTCTAGGGGGGCAGCCTGCTTCCCTTCCACTGGAGGCTCTGGCTCTAGAAGAGGGAGACATGAAGGGCGCTGGGTGTGTGCGTCCCCAGCCCTCAGTCTTCCCATCTGTGGAATAAAGCTGAGCTCGGTGGTCTAGACCTGTGGGTCTCAGCTGGGGCCATTTTGTCCCCTAGCGGGACATGTGGCAGTCTGCAGACATTTCTGGTTGCCACAGCTAGGGTGGACGGTGCTCCTGGCCTCTATGGGTAGAGGTTGGGGATTCTGCTAAACACCCTACAATGCACAGGACAGGCCTCAAAGCTGAGAACGATCTGGCCCCAGATAGCAGTAGAGGGGAGACTGACAAGCCCTGGTCTAGACCCGTGTTGTCCGACAGCACTTTCCTCGATGGCGTTCCGTATCTCTGTGCTCCAGTGCGTTAGCCACTGGCCACGTGAGGCCACGGAGCCCTTGAAATGTGGCAAGGGTGTCCGAGAAACTCAGTCTTTCATTTTTGATTAAACGTAAGTCACCACACGTGGCTAGTGGCTTCCAGACTGGGAAGCTCAGGGCCCAGAGACCCCTTCCCTTGGAGCGTCCCGGGGTGAGGTGGGAGGTGAGGCTCACCTGTGGGCTCTGGCTCGGGGCTGGATGCGTCCTCACAGGCCACGCTGGCCGGAAGCTGGAAGGCATCCAGAGGGGTCTGGCCACCCTCGGCTTGGCTGGGGACAAGACGGGGGGTGTAGAGCCCCCACCCCATGGTACTTAGGGCCCATCACTGCAACCCCCCTCCTCCAAGCTGGGGTCTAGCCCAGCTTAGCCCCGTGTCCCGAGGCCAGACCTGGGCAGCCTGTGCCCCCCGCCCCCCCCCCTGCGAATGTCACCACCTGGGTGTCCCCTGGGTACCTCATGCTCATCTCCCCTCAGCATCTTCCTCTCAAACTGCTGCTCCTCTCAGGAGCCCCAAGCCAGGCCATCAAAGCCAGAGACGTGGGTGTGAGCAGATGCCACCTGCCCTCCTCCACGTGCACTGTCTGGCATTTCCCGGACCCGCCCCAACCTCTTCCCTGGGCTCCCAGCCCCTGTCGTGTCCCTCGAAGTCCCTTGCGGCAGCCAGAGGGGTCTTTCCACAAAGCAGACATGACTGTGACCCTCTCCGGCTTTAAACTCTGCCATGGCTCCCCAGTGCCCCAGAATCAAGTCCAGACCCTCTGCGTGGGACTGAGGCCACTTCAAAGCTGCCTCCTCAATCCTCTGTCCCCTGCAAGCAAGGTCACTCCAACTCCGGGCCTTTCCTTTCACTGTCCCCCTGTCCCCCTCCTGTTTTCAAACCCTTCTGGGCTTGTCCTCTTTGAAAAGCTCCCCCCACCCCGAAGAGGAGCCCCCCCCACCCCAAGCTGGGGAGAGACGGCAAAGTCTCGCGGAGGGGTTCTGAGCCGCCCTACGGGGCACACGGGCTACAGCCCTCACCTGAGCACGTAGCTGACCCAGAGCACGTGGCGCTCCCCGGGGCTCTTCCCGCTCACGGCCACGGTGGCCACGGACTGCAGCCACACAAAGCCCCCAGCCCGCTGCAGCCAGCGGTAGTAACCAGTCATCACCTGCCCCTTGTCCAGCACTGGGCCCAGCCCAGGGGCCGGCCGAGACAGAGACAGACAGGTGGACAGGAAGATGGGGCGAGAGAGGAAGACGGGGACAGAGAGGGTGACGGTAGGGAGGAGACAAGGTCAAAAGTACAGAGCGGGAGATGGGGAGAGACCGAGTCAGAAGGACTGAGCACTAACCTGGCACGGGGGCCTTCTGGATTTTTAAGGGGGGCGGGGTCACAGAGACACCACGGCCCCTTTCCTCCCACCCCACGTCTGAGCTGTGGCTCAGGGTGCAGGGATTGGGGGCACTCAGGCCAGGGGTGCTAGGAGACAGGGGTTCTCACGGTCCAGGTGGCTCTGGCGGATCCTGGCTGCGTCCTGTCCGTGGACAAACTGGTAGCAGCTGCGACCCACGAGCTCTGAGGGCCCCAGGTCCATGTGGTCGCTGACTCTGAGGACAGCAGGTGACAAAGGAGTTGAGAAGGGGTCTGAGACCAGGGGTTAGAGGACAAGAGGCAGTGTTGGCTCTGGAATCACCAGGAGTGCTCTGGGCCTCAGTCTAACCCTGGGTCAAATGGGCGTAACACTAGTGTCCCTCCTAGGGTGGCCATGAGCATTCAGGCAGGTGGCACTGCTGGGTGCGGGGTGGCCCCGGGCACTCGGAAGGCTCTCAGAGCGTGGGGACGATTTCACATTTTACTTTTCCCCACTGCGCGGGGCAGGAGACAAAGTGGGGCGGGGCGGGGCCCTGCAGGAGGGGCCTCGGGCAAGCCCCGCCCACCCTCCCCCCCCGGGCCCCGCCCCGGCCTCCTCCTTCCGGTACCTCCGCCCTCGGGGCTCTTCCGTCCCCGGGGCTCTTCCGTCCCCCGGGGCTCCCCAGCCCCCGGGGCTCCCCAGCGCAGCTCTGACTGCCCGCAGCCCCAGCTCTCCCGCGTGGCCCCATCCGCCCGCCTCGGCCCCCAACCCCGGTACCTGCTCTCACAAGCAAGGATGGTGAGACCCAGGCTGAGACGGAAGACGATCGTGTGTCCGTGTAGCGGCAGCTCAGCCAGGGGGGCCGGGGGCAGCGTGTGGCCCAGAGCCACAAGGCCCAGGGAGCGGGCCCGAAGGCGCCCCGTTACGTGGATGACCTGCAGGCGGCAGGCGGGGTTGGAGGAGAAGCCTGGCGAGGCCGGGGGGACGGGTAGGGGGCAGGCACGGGCAGGAGGACCACAACCCGGCCACCGGGCCAGGCTGCGGCTGTCACCCACAGGTGCCGGGGCACAAGGACATAGCTGGCGGAAATGCGGGGGCTCTCCCCAGGTGGGCGTCAGAAGCTGGGGCCGGAGAGCTCACACTCACCTTGTACCCCGAGGCCTTGACGTGCAGCCCCCTCTTGGTGAGGGTCGATTTCATGCGGATGAAGAAGGAGCGCTCCTGGACCCGGGAGAAGGGAGGCACCTCGGCGGCGCTGGCCTCTGGGGTGGGGAGTGAAGGAAGGTTTCGGGGTCCGGAGGAAAAAACACACACGGGCCCCCCTTGCCCCCAGTACAGCTAGCCAAGGGTCATGGCCACGGCCTAATGGTTACACAACCTCACTGAAGTCGTATACCAACCTCCCCTCTGAGCAGCAGCCAGCCCGGTCTCAAATATAACCCTGTCCCTTCCTGCCCTGAAACCACCATGGCTCCCTAGGACCCTTGGGCTAAAGCCCAGCTCCTCACCTTGGCCTCAAACTTTGGCAAGAACCGCCTCCCGCTGACACCAACTTAGCTACAAACTCCAGGTCTCAGGTGGGACAGCTTCTCCTCCAAGAAGCCCTCCCTAACCCCCTGGCTGGGTCAGGCATCCCTTTGGGGTGGGACCCCAGCCCTGACCACTCTGGATCATCATTCTCAAGGGACTGGTCAGTCTTCCCCACCTGGACTGTGAGCCCAGAGGGTAGGGCTGGGGCTGCTGTCATCTCTGTGTCCCCAGCCCTCCCCAGCACAGAGCAGTAAGACCCACAAATACAGATTAGTCTCTAAATCCCGTGGTGGTCTTATAGCTGCTCACACCCAGACGGACCTGTGCCTCGGTGGACCCTCGTGTGTGTCACAGACATCTCCCAAGCTTGCAAGCGCTGCTGACAGCTCAGATGCTTTTGGTGTGAAGCAAACCCGATATAAGAAGATCCTACTTACAGGAGAGTTAGCCTCCAGTCCCCCAACATCTCAGAGCTAAAAGGAACTTTCAGGGTAATCTCCCAACACCCACCCTCTCCAACATGGAGTGGAATTTTCCACTGGAGAGAAGGCCTGGAAGCACAGATGCTACAGCCAGACAAACCTGGGCTGGAGTCCAGCTCAACCACTCACAGCTGTGTGACCTGGGGCAATTAACTTAACCTCTCTGTGCTGTGCCTCAGTTTCCACCTGTGCAAAATGAAGACAGTGATAGTTCCTGCTTGCGGGGTTGTGATTAGGATTCAGTGAAATTATGCACTTAAAGGCACAGCACCTGTAAAAGCCAATGAGCGTGCACTGTTTTATTATTACCAAAGCCGGGTTCCAGCTGTCACCCACAGGCACCCATCTCCACTTGGTGGCCAGAGGGGTCTTTCTAAAATTCAAATCTTGGGGAGCCAGGCAGCTTAGGCAATTTTAGGGAGCCAAGTCTTGTTGCCTCGGTTTAGCCTCTGATCATTTTACAAAAATTTGCTTTGCACAGCTCGAAGGAGAGTGGTTTTTGTTTAAAGAAGACATGGCTGGATACAGTGTACCGGGTGTCCCTTGACCTACCCTCAGCCGCATTCTTTGGGGGCCCTTGGAATTACCGATCTCAGGGGTATCCGCGAGCGAGGAGGAAGACGAGGAGGAGGAAGAGGAGGGAACGGAGGGCGGGGTGGGGGGCCCGGGGGTCGGGGCCCGGAGCCCCAGTTGCTCCAGCACCTCGGAGTGGTCCCCGGGGTGGATGTAGTCGAAGACGCTGCTACCCGTCAGCTCCACCTGCCGGCGGAAGAGGGGACCGCAGAGGGCGGGTAAGATGCGCGCGCAGTCACTCGCCCGGGGTTCAGCCTCGGGCTCACTCGCCTCCGTTGCAAGCGCGCTTCAAGCCAGTTTTGTGTTTTTATTAGAATTTCTATTTAACCTTTTAACCTTTTTTTTTTTTTACCTTTTTTTTAAAAGGAGATACAAACTTAGGCTCTAATGCCTTTCTCACTTCAAACCCGGTGATCATTAAGGATTTTCTGCACCTGCTTATTAAGAAGCCGCGTGCCTGCTTCTCATAGCTTCCATTTGCCCAACTCCCACCCGCACGCAGCAAACAACTGTGCCCGGAAATGAATCACAGGATATCCCAGCAGCGATGGAGATCAGGATACAAGCAGTGGGGTGGTTTTCGAACTCCTTAAAGAGTTGGAACTTCTCAATCAGATAGACTATCATTCAGTTCACCCCCCAATCTCTCAAAGCAATCCCTCTTTGCTCCACACCTCCCCCAGTCCAGGTCCCTATCTCCCCCGCCCGCCCCCCCGCTGTGTTCCTGCCCCAGCGTCCTCCCTGCTCTTCTGGCTTTCAGTCTCCACTTTAATACCCCCACTAAGTTACTCCTCTGACCATGCCCCTCCCCCCCACCACACACACACCTCAGAAGCCTCCCAGAGCTCCCACTGCCCCTGGGTTTGCGATCACATGCTTCCCTCTGAACTCCTCCTCATCAAACCCTTCCCTGCACCAGCTGCAAGCCTTTCATCCACTCTTCCTTCCCCCTTCCCCTTGTCCATATTCCCCTATCTCCAGGGTCTTCCTCCTCCAGGCATCTCCAACAACTCACTGAAACGGTGCTCACAAAGGCCAAACACCGAGCACCGGCTTTTCTAAATTTACCATTTGGTAAAACCTTTATCAAAGTGATGAGAGGATAGCAATTTGTGCTGAATGGATTGGGGAGGCCTAAGATGCCCCCCAGGAGCCAGGCTCCCCAGGGATGGGGGTCTTCGGTTTCTGCTTTTAGCTCCCAGTGCCACCTGCAGGAGCTGGGGCAGAAACAGCTAGTGGAAGTAAAGACAAAATGCAAGCCAGTCCACTGAAACGCCACAGAAAATCTTCCAAAGTTGGCAAAACCCAAGCCCTCCCAATACAAATGGTTGCAATTCTTTACAATGGGTAAGAAAAAGCAAGTTTTGGTAAATATGGTGCATCTGGCTAAGGCTCATCGACAAACTGATCTTTCTGCTGATCTGCTTTCTTCAAACTGACCTGTTACTTTAATAACAAACCCCCTCCCCCGCCTGTCATGTGGAGCCTCCTGGGGCTCCCAGGGGTGCACTTTGAGAACCATGGATCCAGTTCACTTTTTAGGCTGGGATGGTGAGGCCAGGAGAGAGAAAGGGCATGCATCACGGGCCAGCAAGGGAGATGCCAGTCCAGGCAGCCTGCCGCGGGCCCCTTACCTGTGACAGACCCAGATAGATGGAGACGGTCTCGGAGATGTAGAGGAACTTCCCTTCCTGGTTCAAGGCAAACACGAAGCCATCCAGGGACTAGGGTGGGGAGAAATAGGGAGAGGGGAGAGGAGGGCTGGGCATCTGTCCAGCAGGTAAGTGATAAGAGATTCTGAAATCTGGCTCGCCACCTAGGATGGATTAATCTGGGGCGGGGGAGGGGCTTTCGTGGCCGTGGGAAAGGGCGGGCAGGAGCGGGGAGCCCCGGCCTGATGCTCTCATGGGATGGACGCTGGAGCAAACGGTGCCGCTCTCCGGAGGTGGCCACCAGGTGGCAGCAAGGAGCAGCAGGCCGGGCAGGGGCCTCACCTGCAAGATGTGTCCTCCCAGGTGCTGCTCGAAGACCTCAGACACCAGCGCCACGGGGCCCCTGTGGCCTGGGGCTGGGGACAGAGGGAGGGGTGAAGCCGGAGCCTGTTGGTAGGCCCCCATTCGAGCCAGCCTACAGATCTCCCTCTCTTCTCCCCAGTCCTGGAGCCGTCTTGGGGCGCTGGGGGCCCCGGGCCCGTCGGGGAGAAACCTGGGCTCGTGGGGAGGGGTGGGAGGGGCGGAAGCGGGCTGAGACGCACAGACAGACGCCAGAGGACGCAGGGAGCCGTCCATCCACGCATCCATTCAGAAAGTCTCCCTGAGCCCCGGCTGGGCAGCAGGCCCTGTGCTGGGGACACAGAGGCGGCCCGGACGGCCTGCTCTTCCCCTCACGAGGCACCGGGGCCAGGGGCAGACACACCACACGCAAGCAACTAGCAAATATAGAATTATCATACGTGCCAGGGCCATGAAGGATTGAAAAGGTGGTGTGAAGTGAGGCCTGTCGTGGGAGGGGGCATTTGAGTTCAGACCCAAAGGATGGCAATGGGACAGACTGAAGAGGAGAGAGAGACAGAGAGACATTTGTACAGAGAGCCAGAGAGAGTAAGAGAGACAAAGAAACAGATATTGAAAGACAAAGACACCAGACAGACAAGCAGTTGGACAGAGAGACATACAGAGGGATACAAGGAATAGAGAGAGAAGGACATTGCAACTCGACAGAAAAAGGACAAACAGGGGTGCCCGGCTGGCTTAGTCCGTGGAGCAGGTGGCTCTCTCTTGATCTCGGGGTCGTGAGTTCGAGCCCTGCATAGGGTGTAGAGATTACTTAAAAATAAAATCTTAAAAAAGAAAACCAAAACCCCAATGAAGTGTCACCTCACACCCACTAGGATGGCTAGAGTTCAAAGAGAAATGTTGGCGGGGATGTGGAGAAATCGGAATCCCTGTGCATTGCTGGTGAGAATGGAAAATGATGCAGCCGCTCTGAAAAACAGTATGGAGGTTCCTCAATAGGTCACATATGGGGGCGCCTAGGTGGCTCAGTCCGTGAAATGTCTGCCTTCGGCTCAGGTCCTGATCTCAGGGTCCTGGGATTGGGTCCTGCTCAGCGGGGAGCCTGTTTCTCCCTCTCCCTCTGACCCTCACTCATTCTTTCTTTCTCTAGTGCTCTCTCTCTCTCTCTCAAATAAACAAATAAAATCTAAAAAAAAAAAAAAAGTCACACATAGAATCACCTGCCACACAACCCAGCAATTCCGCTCCTAGGTATATACCCCCCAAAGAACTGGAAGCAGGTGTTCTAACAAATATTCTACACAGATGTTCACAGCAGCATGATTCCTAACAGTCAAAAGGTGAAAACACCTCAAAGGTCCATTACCTGATGGACAGATAAATGAAACGTGCTATATTCATACAGTGGAATATTATTCAGCCAGGAAAATGAATGAAGTGGGGACACATGCTCTAATGCGGATGGACTCTGAAAACATTATGATGGGGGCGCCCGGCTGGCTCAGTCGGTGGAGCATGCGACTCTTGATCTCAGGGCCATGAGTTTGAGCCCCACATTGGGCATGGAGCCTAATTAAAAATAATGTGAGAACATTATGCAAGACACAAGAGGTCACACACTGTGTGATTCCATTTCTATGAATTGTCCAGAGCAGGCAAATCCATAGAGACAAGAAGCGTTGGTGGTTGGAGGGGGGGATGGGGAGTGTCTGCTAATGTGGATGGGGCTTTTTGGAGGGCGATGAAAATGTTCTGGAACCAGATAGAATGGTGGTTGCACAACCCTGTGACTGTACTGTCACTGAATTGTACACTTTATTTTTTAATTTAATAAAGCCCACTGCAGGGCTTGAACTCACAACCCTGAGATCAAGACCTGAGCTGAGATCAAGAGTCAGATGCATAACTGACTGAGCCACCCAGGTGCCCCCTGTACATTTTTTAAAAAAGATTTTATTTATTTATTTGAGAGAGAGAGAGAGAGAGCACAAGCAGGGCGAGTGGGAGAGGAAGAAGCAGGCTCCCTGCTCAGCAGGGAGCCCAATGTGGGGCTCAATCCCAGGGCCCTGGCAGATGCTTAGCCGACTGAGCCACCCAGGCGTCCCCACTGTGCATTTTAAAATGGTGAATTTCGGGGTGCCTGGGTGGCTCAGATGGTTGAGCGTCTGCCTTCGGCTCAGGTCATGATCTCAGGGTCCTGGGATCGAGCCCCACATCGGGCTTCTGGCTCAGCGGGGAGCCTGCTTCTCCCTCTCCCTCTGCCTCTCTCCCTGCTCATGCTCTCTCTATCTCTGTGTGTCAGATGAGTAAATAAAATCTTAAAAAAAAAAGGTGAATTCCATGTTATATAAATTTTACTTCAATTAAAAAAAAAGTTTTAAGGGGCACCTGGGTGGCTCACTCGCTTATGCATCTGCCTCTTGATTTTGGCTCAGGTCATGATCTCAGGGTCATGAGATCGAGTCCTGAGTGGGGCTCTGCGCTCAGAGGGGAATCTGAGATTCTCTTTCCCTCTCCCTCTGCTCCACACCCCCACTCTCTCTCTCTCTCTCAAATAAATAAATATTTATTTATTTTTATTTTATTTTATTTTTTTTAAAGATTTTATTTATTTATTCATGAGAGACAGAGAGAGAGAGAGAGACAGAGGCAGAGGGAGAAGCAGGCTCCCCGTGGAGCGGGGAGCCCGATGTGGGACTTGTTCCCAGGACCCTGGGATCATGACCTGAGCCGAAGGCATACACTTAACTGACTGAGCCACCCAGGCGTCCCTAAATAAATATTTAAAAAATATTTTAAAAGAGATAGGGACAGACATATGTAGACAGAGAAATTCAGAGACAGACGAAGACAGAGAGACGTAAAGAGATGGAGAGAACAGAAAGGAGGTGCTCAGAGAGACATACAGTGAAAGAGGGTGACTGACAGAAGGATGTGGCAAATGAGACCAAGGGCAAAGAGAGACCCAGCCCCCAACAGGCAGGAGCAAAGGTGGGAGAGTGTGTGTGTGGTGGGGGGTTGGAGCCTGTTTCCACAGGGACCCTCTCCCTGACCCCGTAGAGAACCACCTCCCAAGGGATCCTATGTCTGGATTGGGGAGCCAGGGGATTCAGTGACCTTGAAGGTCGCCAGGTCTGGTGCCAAGCCCCAGGGCTGGCCCTCCCTGGCTGTGTGCCCTGGGCCCAGTCCGTTCGCCTCTCTGTGCCTCAGTTTCCTCCTCTGTCAAGTGGCTTTGCAAAGAGCGCTGACCGCACTGGCTGGTTGAGCATTCGGTCAGCTTAAGGAACAGAAAGGGCCCAGCACCCGCCTGGCACACGACAGGTGCTCCCAGACGCAGAGCAGGGATTAGCATTAATAGTGTGATTACTATTGTTATTTCCAGACCATCAAAACACCAGGCAGCCAAACCTCGTCCGCGCGCCCCCCTCGGGACTCGGGTGGGGCCCCCAGCCCCGCCCCCAGCCCCCTAACGTCTTGGCCACGCCTCCTTCTCCCAGGAGCACCTCCCGCTGTTCGCACCCTTTTCCCACCCCTGGCTGGAGCTCCAGGAACAATAAATGGGGTGGGGGGTTGATGGGGACCCCTCCCCCGAGATGCAGCGCGAACCAGCCGGGTGACAGGCAGGAACAATGCCGCCTGCTAATTGTCGCAATTTTCCCCTGTCATTTTTGCTAATTCCTTCATTTTCCCGCTCACAGGATCAGCCCAGGTCAGACTGAACGTCTGCAATTAACAGCCTTAATGGGCACGTCGGACTGGGGGTGCGCAGGGGGAGGGCTCGCTGTTCCCCCATTGGGACAGGAGCTTTGGGGTAGGTCCCCATCACTGACTGATGCATCTTATCACCCCCTGCTTCCCCCTCCCCAAACCCAACTCCCCAGCCTCCTCCCCCTGGGTTCCTGCCTCTCCAGGCAAATGCCTCAACTCCGCTGTCCCCCAAATTACGCACGTGGCTCTTTACTGCTCCCAGATCTGCCCCCTCCTCACACCCAAACCCCCAACCATCACTCAGTCATTCAATAAACATTTGCTGCATTTCTCATTGGAGCCTGACTGCTGGAGAAAAAAAAAATTGTCCCAGTTGTCATCACAGAGTGGGGACTGAGGGGAGGTGGGGAGAAGGCCGCTCCCAGGTCTTAGGGGTCTGGTCACCTCCTATTCTCAATTGGCCTGAGAGAGAGTCACTGTCTGGGGAGAGGGAAGCCTGGCTCCCTGGGGGCAGGCCTGAGGGCCTCTGCACTCACCTCCTCACGGGTCTCCCTGCTTCTACCCTCACACCCGCCACCTCCGGCTCCCATCCCACTTGGGCTAACAGCTAAAGTCCCCACCAAGGCCCACGAGGCCCTGCAGGACCTGGTCCTTGCTGTCCACTCCCTGCCTCACCTACTCCTCTCTGGACGCCTTGGCCTCATTATGGCCTGCACCCAGCGACCTGATTCCTGCCTGCCTCAGGGCCTTTGCACTTACTCCCTTGGCCTAGACTGCTTTTCTTCCAGCTTTTCTCAGGCTTGTGTCCTCACCTCCTTCCTCGCCTCCTTTGAGCTCAAAGGTCCCTTCCTCAGAGATGCTGTGCCTGATCTGTGAATGAAAATGTCAACCCTCCTCCCCTCACTCTGTTCCACAGTCACCCAACAAATATTTTGCAAGCCCTTACTGTGCCCCAGGCACTGTTCTAGGCTCAGGGAACAAGGTGTCATGGGGGAGAGACACAATGAACAAGAGAAAGAAGAAATAGCGTCGGATGACAATAGGTCCTTTGGAAAGAAATAAGACAGGAAAGGGAGACAGGGAGTGCTGGGGGCAGGGCTGTTGTCAGTGTTCATAGTCAGGGAAGGCCTTCCTGAAGAGCTGACATTTGGAGGGAAAGAAGTTACTGCGGGAGGGCACAGCAAGTGCAAAGGCCCTGAGGTGGGAACGTGTCTCTCTGAAGAACAACAAGGTAGCCAGAGTGTGTGTGTGTGTCTGTCTGTGTGCGGCAGGGGGTGGGAGGGAGTTGAAGAGGTGAGAGGGGTAGAAAAATGAGATCAGAGAGGTGGGGGGCAGTGGGCCTCCCATGAAGGATCTGTAGGCCCATCCTTGAGGTCAGGGACTTTGTCCTGTTCCCTGGGGTGTCCCTAGAACAGGGCCTGGCACAGGGAAGGTGTTCAGTGGGTGTTGAATGAATGCTGACCACTGATGCAAGATCCAGGCTCTCTCCTCCCTGGACTCAGAGGTCCCGGGCTAGCCTTCAACATCCATTGTGCTGTTTTACAGCCAGCCGACCAAGGCCCAGAGGGAGACTGGGACCTCCAAGGTCCCCAGAGACCTATGAACAGGCCAAGTTGGGAGGCTAAGAAGGTGCCCCCTGAAGCCAGTTGGAATCTCAGCTGGGCCCAGGCTTGGCTGACGATGCCTTGGGCAAACAGCTTCACCTCTCTGGGGCTCAGTTTTCCACTTCTATAAAATGGAAACATCGCTTTCCTCCTGATGTTTTTTGAGAGGGTTAAGCAAGTTTTGTGGGTTTTTGTTCTGTTCTGTTTTTTTTTGTTGTTGTTTTGCGTGTTATTTTATATAGTGCTCAAGACAGTCTGACATGCATTGGATATGTTTGCGATTATAATTGAGGAGGACACGGGAGCACCCTCCCCTTCGGAGAGTGGGAGGCACCCTGCTTTGCTCTCTGACTAGCTAAGACGCTGTCCTCAGTTTCCTCGGGGGTGGGGGTGGGGGTGGGGATTATGGAAGCAGGCCCTTGACCTCTTGCTGGGGACCCTGTGAAGGAGACACCTCCAAATTCCTACTCTTGGGGCTACAGGAGGGAGTCCACACAGTACCTCCAACACATACTGTCCTGGACCGGGGGGGGGGGGGTGGCGGGGGGGGGGGGCTCCGGGGAGTAGAGGCTGGGGGCGTCGACCAAGTCCACGGTCTGCCCCCTCAGGGCCGTGTCCTCAGCGGGCGCGCATCCCCTTCAAGTGCCCAGCCAGGCGGGGGTGGGGGGGTGGGAGCTGGCCGCCGGAGGAGCTCTCGGCACCCCCTCCCTCCCTTTCTCTCCCCGCGTCCGGGACAATAGACAAGATGTTTATCCCCCGCCGGCGCACATGTTGTTCGCGGTAATGACAGTAATCAGCGGCGCTAATGCGGCATTCTCTCGGCGCCAGTCAATTCGCCTAATTACCGCCTGGGAAGCCGGATTATTTAAATTTAAATGGTGATTTATTGCGAGCTTAATCAATGCTATTTTCTCTCCCCCCCCCCCTCCCCTGGGACCAGGGCAGGAGGGGAATCGGAGCCCCTCCAACCTCACCCTAAGGACACCCGTTCCTCTGGTGGGGAGTGTAGCCTGGGGTGCCCCGGCCCGCTCACCTGCGACCTCGGGTTAACACGATTCATTGTCTGCTTGTCGTTGACAACGAGAAGCAGTAAGACGTCAGGGTAACAGTAACATAACACTCCTAGGTATCCATCAATAATAAAGTTGAATTCTAATAAAAGGAGCTAGCTGGCTATCTGTATCTGTGTTTTACCTCTTCGATCTTTTTACATAGCGTAGATTGCATTTCTCTTCTCTACTTCATTATTGGGTCTTGGCTACTAGGATGGCAGTCTTGGGTGGGGGGCTTTTATCAAGCCTGTGTACGGCTGGATCCTGAGGGCTCAAAACAGTAGCTGCTTAATAAACCACAGGCCCCAACAACTCTGCAGGGTCACCACCAAGAGTCACTACGTATTGATAGCACGTGGGGCTTTACACACGTCACCTGGTTGATTTTCACCTCAGCCCTCTGGGTGTGCTTGTGGACTTTCATCAGGATTCCCATTTCATGTGTGAGGCACGGAGAGGTCAGGTGGCCTGCCCGAGGGTCACAACGCTGGGGGTGGCCGAGTGGGGACAGGACCCAGGAGAGTCTTTCTGAAGCTCTCCATCTTACCTGCCAGCTTCTACTGTCTCCCTCCCGCTTTCCCAAACTGGGAATTCAGACTCCAGAGTCCTTGTGCTCCCCCCTGGGGCCCCTCAAGTCTGAGTGAGGGGGTTTCTTGCCCATGAGTGGATGGGGAGGCCCAGGCTGGGCCCCCCTCTGTCCCGCCCATGGAGCTGCGGGCCTTTTTTGTGATAATAACGATTCATCTCCCCTAATAAAAATAACAGCATTGGCTAGTGGTCGGATCCCTGGTGTTGCGGGGCGGCGGGGGCCCCTTAGTCGGGCCAGAATTCATGAAATCATCCCTACCTCGTGTGCCCGTTTTACAGATGAATAGACTGAGGCTTGGAGACTAGAAGTCACCCGGTTGGGGCACACAAAAGGTCTGGCTGACTTCCAACCCCGTGCTCGCTGCCGGCCAAGGAACTGGGCAAGGGCCCTCCGGTCCGAGGGAGGGCATTGGGACCCCCGCCCCCGCGCATGCGCACTCACCGAGGCCGGCCGGTGGCCCTGCGGCCCGCAGTCCCCAGGGCGGCGCCCCGAGGGCGGCGAAGCGGCGCAGGCGGAGGTAGGTGACGCTGAGGCGCACGATGGACGCCTTGTCCAGCTGGCTCGAGATGGCTCCGGGCAGCGGGAGCAGCTTGGCCAGCTCGAAGAACTCCAGGTTCTCCTTTCCGCGCCGCGAGCGCGCCGCATTCCGGGACTTCTCCTTGCGCTGCGCCTGCAGGCTGGGCGGGCGGCGCGGAGGGGGCGTCAGCGGGGCCGCGAGGCTCCGGGGTCCGCGGCCTGGGGGAGCCCCGCCCTCGGGGCCTCGGAACCGGACGGGACGTGGGAAGTGGATTCAACACTGGAGGTGGGGGCAGAACCTGCGTGTGAATTCTGCACCCGGCCGTGGGGACAGAACGTGGGGTGTAAATAAATTCTGGGGGGAAGGAGGCGGAAGAGGGGAGAAATTAAATGTTGGGTAGACTCTGAGGAAGGGGGGTAGGAACGGAACACGGTGGGGGTTGTTTGTAGAACAAAGGTTGAGCTACTCTGGGTAAGAAATTCTCGCTCCGGAGGGCGGGGCAGCAAGCTGAGTGTGAATTCTCCCAGGACGCCCCTGGGGGGCGGGGCCACGGCCCGAGGGGCGGGGCTTTGCTCACCAGGGTCCGGGCGGGGCCTTGACCACCAGCCCAGGCAGAAAGTCCCACGGGACGCTGCGGCCACGACCTCCCCCGCACTTGACCTCGCCTCCGCCGCCACTGCTGGGGTAGGGGGCCGCCATCTCCGCGGGGGCGGCCTCAGACGGGCTCAGAGCAGCCTGCGGGACCCGAGACCCGCGTCTCCTGCCGCGGAAGGGAGCCGGAGGCAGCGCTCGGGGCCCGAGGGGGCCCCCCCGGGAGACCCGCTAGGGAAACTGAGCTCCGTGCGGCGCTCGGGGTCCCAGCAAGGAGCTGGGGCTGGAGGGTGCCTCAGTTTCCCCTCCCCGGGGGCCCCGGGACGGAGCCCGCTGTTCTCACCCTGCCCGGCCCCAGGCGAAGCTCGGGGCGAGGACGTGCCCCGCCGCCGCCGCCGCCGCCGCCGCCGCCTCCCCCGCGCCGCCCGCCAGCGCGGCCGCCTCACGCCCGCGCCGGGCCGGCTCCCGCATACCAATAGGCGCACGCGGCGCGCATACGGATCCGACCGGCCCGCGCGCTGCGTGCCAAGCATGCCCAAGCCGGGCGGGCGGGGGGCAGGCGCCTCGCCGGGGCCCAGGCGCGCCCGGCTCCTGCCCCGAGAGCCCTCTGTCCCGGGGATCCGCTCTCTTAGCCCATCCCAGGAGTCCGTTTGCCCTCATCCGCGGTGCGCCCATTTCCCTGGCTGGGCTAAGGAGGTAAGGGGGGCAGAGGGCAGGGACCCCACCCAATGGCCTGCCCAGGGACCCCCCCCCCCCCAGGCCCTTGGGGTGTGGCCATGCGTCCGGGCCGCCAAATCTCCTCAACCACAACTTCCTTCCCGAAGACCCGGGCGTGCGAGCCACAGCCCCCGACGCAGTGGCCAGAGCATCAGCCAGAGGACGCCCGCAGGATCGCCCCGACACTCAGGGCCCAGGTGTCCTGGTACTCAGATCCTCCGGAACCAGGAACGTGTTCAATTAGGTCTTCATTCCTCCGGGACTAGGCATTAAGGATTCCCTCCCCCACCCTGCTCCCAATAGCCAGGCCGCCCCCGAGCCTCTCCAGCCAGGTGTCCGGATGCCCTAGACCTTGGTGTCCAGGTACCCAGCCCCCTATTCCTCCGGGACCCAAACATCCGTGTACTCCTTCCCCCCAACCTCAGGATACAGGCGTCCTGATACCCTAGCCCCCTGCACACTGGAGTTCCAGCCCCCTGCTTCTTCAGGACCCAGGAGTTCCCTGGCCCCTCCTGCCTGCCTCCCGGCGTCCCCTACCCGCAGGACCCACAGCGCCCTTACCTGGCCGCGGGGCAGGCTCCGGGCGCGGCGTGGGGCCGGCCGGGCGGCGCAGAGGGGTGGCCCCATAGACCCCGGGGCAGGCCGGGCTCGGCGGGGCGCGCGGGCTGTGGCGCTCGGTTCTCCGCGCCCACCGCGGCCTCGCAGACTTGGGAGCCGCGCGGACCGTGCCGGCAGGCGGGGGCGGTGCCTGCGGAGCCCCGCCCACCTAGTCTCCGCCCCCTCGGTCCGGCCCCCGCCACAGCCTCTTCGGCCTTTTGCTGTGGTAGGGGCTTCCCAGCGAGGGACTCTGGAGCGGCCCCGGAACCCGAGTCCGCTCCGCCCACCGCAGCTTCGGGGGTCCGGCCCCCTCCCACCAGAATGACAACCTCGGAGCCGGGGCTTCCCCATCTCGTCCGGAGTCTCCATACTCCAAACGGAGGAGCTAGCACCTTAGTCCCCCAAGAGAACCCCGAGCTCCAGCAGCCCCTCGGGCAAGGCGGGCATCCATACACCCAAACCCCGTGTAGGGGTGGAGACTTAGCCTTCAGTACCCGCGCCAGGGATGCGAATCCAGGCGTTCGAGACCCTCCTTTCCCAGGAGAGAATTTCAGGGTGTGAGCATGCCCTCTACAAGAAGGGGGCCCCCGCACCCAAGACCTCCCCCAAAGGCCAGGCTTTGGCGTCCGGACCTGCCCTCTCTCAGGATACTGGGACCCAGGTGTCGGAATACCTTCAGAGAGCAGGATCCTGGGGTCTTATTGCTACAGGATTTCTATTCCTTCAGTGCCGGAGGTCCTTGGTCACGCGGCTTCCAAAAATGAAGAGGTAGACTAGACGAAGAGTGATGGGCAGCGATGCAAAGTGTATTGAGCAATATGGTACAAAGCTCCCGGAGAGGGAGGGGACCCGAGAGGGACCTGCCCTTGGAGTTTCTAAGTTTAGGGGTTTTTATGAGCTCTTTTGCGGAACTATCTTAAGCAACCGGAGTGTGCCGAGTGGTGCCAATCAGGGCTTTGATTGCTCTCTGTCTACGTATTAGGTTGATGCTTACCTGAGGATGGTCTTTAGGGCTGACGTCTGGGGGCTTATGTCTTAACCAGCCCCTTGCTCGTGATAGTGACAAATGCTTTGTGGTTAATTGTTTTATTTTAGGACGTTTTGCAGAAGTCATTTCTGCAAAGGCTGCAAAACACAATGCCAGCGTGGTCCTGTCTAAGCTGCAAAACAGGATGTCAGTGCTGTTTTAGCTGCCCCGAATTCCGTATTTTCTTGTTGGGGACCCTGACCCTAACTACCTAACTGCCCAACTAACTCCTGACATTATCTCCTCCCCTCCCAGAGGGGGGGAGGGAACGGAACACCAATATCAGAGCTCCTCCCAGAAGACCCCAGTGCAATGCAGGAAGATGGAGTCTCGGGAGAGCCAGGCAGGCAGAGAGGCCTGGGCAACCAGGCATGGGTCTGTCTCTGGTTGGACAGATGGAGAAGCTGAGGCACACACCTCTGAACAGTCCTGTGCACTGGTCGATAGGAACACTTTTTTTTTTTTTTTTAAAGTAAGCTCTACGCTCGGCGTGGTGACTGCAAGGTCAAGAGTTGTATGCTCGGGACGCCTGGGTGGCTCAGTCTGTTAACCATGTCTGCCTTTGGCTTGGGTCATGATCCCAGGGTCCTGGGATTGAGTCTCGCTTCAGACTCCTTGCTCAGCGGGGAGCCTACTTCTCCCTTTGCTTGCCCCTCCCCCTGCTTGTGCTCTCTCTCTCTGTCTGACAAACAAATAAATAAAATCTTTTTTTTAAAGATTTTATTTATTTATTTGAGAGAGAGAGAATGAGAGAGAGCACATGAGAGGGGGGAGGGTCAGAGGAAGAAGCAGACTCCCTGCTGAGCAGAGAGCCCGATGCGGGACTGATTCAGGGACTCCAGGATCATGACCTGAGCCGAAGGCAGTCGCTTAACCAACTGAGCCACCCAGGTGCCCCTGATAGGAACATTCTTCAACCTGCGCATGATAACCACAGTTAACAGCTTAGGGATCACTTATGTTCCCCTCATTCTTTTCTCCATAGCAAGGTTCTGAGCTGGGCTCTATTACTAAGCCCATTTTACAGCTAGGGAAACGGAGGCATGGAGAGACTATATAGCCTGGTTATGTTGGTCTCTCAGCCAGTAATATTTTCCTATTTATCCCCAGAGAGACTTGAGAGGGTGTCAGGTAGGGATTCAAGATGAGATCAGTGGCTTCTATCTCCTGACACCCCTTCCTGGCTGTGTGGCCTGGGCAGGTGCTATCCCAGGCCTTGAGAGGTGCACTCATGCTACCCAATTGATTTATGATTACATACACACAGAGCTTGTCAAGGTTAAGAGACTGATTGCTGAGGTTCAAACCCCAGGTCTGCCACGAACTCCTGTGTGACTCTGGGCAAGGAACTTCACCTCTCTGGGCCTCAGTATTTTTCTTTGTAAAACGAGGTATATTTTTACCTAGTACACACCTCATAGCATGGTTGTAAGCATTAAATAAGTTTATCCAGAAGTTCTCTAAGTGTGACCTGGGGACTGGTTCCTGAGACCCTCTCAGGGGGTCCGCGAGGTCAGATTTTCATTCTGAGACGTTTTATGTCTTTTTTCACTTCATTCTCGCACTAGCGTCCGGTGGAATTTTCCAGAAGCTGCACAGCATGGGATATTGCAACAGACTCAATGCAGGAGCAGCCTTGAGGATCCGGCTGTCTTCTATAATGCCAGACCTTACGGACATTAGCAAAAGTGCAAAATAATGACCCTCCTCTCACTAAAATGTTTTGTATTGGAAAATATATATTTTTTTGAAATTATATTTTTCATAAAATGTTATTAATGTTAACTGGTAATAGGTTTATTATTGCTGTTTAAAAATAAATGTCATCTTTTAAAAAATTCTCCTTCTTAATGTCTGATATGGCTTATCAGTCAAAAATAAAAGCTCTTTGGTCTTCCCTAAGAATGTCGAGAAGTCCTGAGACCAAAAATCCTTTTACCTGTACACCACTCAGAGTCACTGATAAACTCATATGCACCCCACTAAGGGCCTCAGTTTCCCATCTGTGAAATGGGTGCGTGGCCCCGGGGTATCTGCACTCTTCGGCAGCTCTGAAGAAACAGGATAGCTTCTAGGCCACGGTGTGTGTATCAGGTAGGGGCCCTCCAACTGGGAATGAGCATTTCATGAAGGGCTCTTGACAAAGGTTTGGGAAACCCAAGAGGGCTGGTGCAGCACCTAGGGTAGGCAAAGCAGTGAGCAGTTAGCACCTGGGGCCTGAAGAGGGAGAGGAGAGAGATGGTAGGGGATCCTAAGACTGGGGTGGCTGAGACCTTCATGGTCTCCTACCCAACACCTCTGCTAGCCTGGCCTCCCCACCACTCAGCCGCATCCCGCTGGCTCTCCATGGCCTTCCTTCACCTCCACTTTGAAGACGTTTCCCAAAGCACCGAAGGTCCACTACTCCCAAAGCAGCAGGGTGGGAGAGATGGGAAGGATAGTACACCTCCTTGGGAGATGGTGAGGTCCTGGTCACCAGGGGAAATCAAGGAGAGGAACAAGGATTTTGGTGGGCACTGAGAGTGTAGTGTGTGTGTGTTCCAATGACTTCTACTTAAACATTCTTATTCTTCCCAGCTGGGAGGTGGAGAGCATAGTTTTAATCTTTTTTTTTTTTAAAGATTTATTTATTTATTTGAAAGAGAGAGAGTGAGAGAGAGCACAAACCAGGGAAGGGGCAGAGGGAGAGGGAGAAGCAGACTCCCCTGCTGAGCACGGAGCCCGATGCAGGACTCGATCCCAGGATTGAGGGATCCTGACCTGAGCTGAAGGCAGACGCTTAACTGACCGAGCCACCCGGGTGCCCCAAGAGCATAGTTTTAAGGAGGTGACTCAGTGGGCTTAAGTTCGAATTCTGGCTCTACTTGTGTGAGCTTGGGCAGCTTCCTTCCTCTCTCTGGGTCTCACTATCCTCATCTGTAAAATGGGGATAATCTAACAGTGCTTCCCAAATAAATGAACCACATGAACCCTCGCCACATTGATGTGAATCTCAAAACTAGAATATTGGTGAAAGAAATAAGTACTGGAAGAATGAATGCAGAATGAGCCCATTTTTAGAAGGTCCACACACAAGACACAGCCTATTACTTAGGGATGTGATCTTGGGTCCTAAGAGAATAATAAATAATACATCAAGAGAATGATGAACACGAGGTTTAGGGAGGTAGCTGAGTCTCTCCAAAGACTCCGGAGGAAGAGGATGCGGTTGGCCAGGGAGGGTGGGGGGGCGAGGGGCAGTAGGATAAGTCTCCACGCTGATGGTGGGTACCGGGATGACCACTTAGTTATTATTACTACAACTAGGCAGCTGTGTTTTGTGCAATCTTTTCTTTGTACGATCTAGTTTACAATAAAAATTAGGAAGTGGGGAAGGGAAGTGTTATGGGTTGGATTGCATTCCCCCCCAAAAAGATACGTTTGGAGTCTAATTCCCAGTACCTCCGAATGTGACCTGATTTGGAGGCGGAGTCTTCATAGAGGTAATCAAGTTAAAATAAGGTCATGGGGCGGGTCTTAAACCAGTGGGACTGGTGTCCTTAGGAAGCAGGGAGAGGTGGACACAGACGTGCCCATAGGGAGATCACCATGTGAACAGAGGCAGAGATCAGGGTGACATGTGCAAAAGGGAGGGACAGCGAAGATTGCCCGCAGGCCACCAGAAGCTAGGGGAGAGCCTGGAAGATTCTCGCTCACAGGCTCAGAAGGAACCATCCCTACCGACACCTTGATCTTGGATTTCTAGCCTCCAGAACCAGGTGACAAGCTCTGTTGTTTAAGCCGCTCAGTGTGTAGTGCTTTGTTATAGCGGCCCTAGCAAAGTAACATAGGGGGAATGGGGAACACCTACAAATGGTATAGGATTTGGGGGGGATGACAATATTCTAAAATTGATTGTAGTGATGGTCCCACAAGTCTGCGAACATGCTAAAAACCATTTTTCAAAGGGTAAAATGGGGGCGCCTGGCTGGCTCAGACGGAAGAGCACGTGACTCTTGATCTCGGGGTCATGAGTTCGAGCCCCACCCTCGGTGTAGAGATGACTAAAAAATAAATAAAAATTAAAAAAAATAAGTAAAAGGGTAAAATGTATGATATGTGAAATATCTCAATTACACTCCTATGAAAAGATAAACAGGAAAAAAACGACAAGGCATTCCTTTTAAGGTGCTGTCAACATTCAATGAATTAACCCAACAAATATTTCGTGAGCATCTATCAGCACTATATGCTGAGCTCTGTGATCCGGACAGAAATCCCAGACCTCCTGGGGCCAACCTGTGTACATGTGACATGTGCTTAGCACATGGCAAGTGACTAACAAAGTTTAGCATTTATCATTGAGTGGCGCTGGCCCACCCTTCTCTCCTGAGGTGTCAGAAAAGGGCTTCTGAAAATCGTGGTGTTCCTCAGCCTCATTTCTCCAAAGGTGCTTGTTCACTTATTCATTCAACAAATGTGCATGAATGAACATGTACAATGAAAGGCAAAATAAACAACCTTGGACTACCAAACAGACTATAAACAATGTTAAAACATTAGTGCCAGTATGGGGAAAAAAGATGCAAATTATTTAAGAGACAATAGATTGAGATTTATCATAAATAAAGAGCTCCTACCAATCAGTAACAAAAGGCAGATGA